GCTCTTCCGATCTCCCCAAAACCCCAAAACCCCAAAACCCCGAAACACTTTTAAAATGATCTAAAATCTGATCTTTTTATTTTTGATATCATTAATTATTAATAATTTATTTAGATTGATCTTTAAATGGAGCTGAATTAGTACAGTAAGACAGATTAATCCCTTATTCCCTCGCTTTAATAAATTTAAAATCTAGATCGAGCAAGTTTGAATCCCATGATATATGAAGAAGATGACAATAATGACCTGAGATAGTAAAATTTAGGAAAAAGAAACAGTGGAGGCTAAATTGATGAGGAAGAAGACGAGAAAAATGAAGATTAGTTTGAAGATAACATGCTAACTAGCAGCAGTAACATAAGGCTAAATACGGCTGGAGGGGTAAATTCGCAATCAAGAAATATGACTTAGCGGGTAATAGATGGAAACTAGTAAGTAACTAGGAACTAAACCCAAACAGGTGCTAAATCCTAAGGAGGCTTTGGAGTGCCGACTCATAGACAAAATAAGAGACCTATCTCAATCCTCAAAAATAAAAAGGCATAAGTTGGCTTGAAGAGCACTTTTCATCATTCTGCTAGTTAGCATTTTTGGGGTACACTAGGAGATTAAGATAATAGCAATCCAGATTCACCAAGTGGGTTCAGAACAAAAGAGGATAAGACCAACTAGAAAACAATCACTGACATTAATTTCTTTGAATGCAGAGAGGTCACTAATTGTGAGTTTATATATGAGCACAGTGATAAAAACACTTCTAATAGAGGTGGAGGGCTCCTAGATTCATTGGGGAGACTATTTACAAGATCATCAGGTTAGGCTGAGATAACTGCAATGTGTGGCATTAAGGACTTGCTGGCTCTCGGATTTTCAAATGGAGTTTTGATATTATTCGACATTGATCGCAATGAAATTGTGTTCTCTCACAAGCACTTCACCAAGAATGACAAGCCTATTGACAAACTTAAACTATTTCAAATGGATATTAAGAACAACCTTGATGACTAGATTAACCTGCTGTTGAGTCTTTCAGAAGGATTGCTGACCTATCATCGATTCCCTAAGATCTAAATGGTTGATGAGCTGATACTCGAAAACAATATTATAGACTTCCAGCCTTATTAGATTTCAAACTCATCATTCTTGGCTACACTTCATAAAAGCCCTAAAGAATTGAAGATTTTCAGATTGAATAGTAGACTTGAATACAAATACGTAACTAAAGTTAGGCTAGATCATATTCCCATGGCATTTACAGTCTACAGAGATATTTTCTTGATTAGCTATCAGCAGTATGCTGAGTACCTTAGAATCGATAATAAAGGAAAGGAAACTGAGACAGTCACAAGATTCAGTCTTTGGTAAAATGATGAAGCAGATCAGAAATACATGCCATTTCCAGTATTTGATGAGTCAACACAGGCTTTTGTGATAACTAAAGAGAACTACTCCTTTTACATGGATGTGAAGGGAGTCTATGACAGAGAGTTTAACAAGATAATGTGGTCAGATCATGTAATGCAGGTAGAGATAGTGAGGCCATACCTAGTTGGATTCTTATAAAACAGCATTGAGATCAAGAACATATTCAATCCTAACAGAGTGGTTCAAAAGATTGAACTTCTATAGAGTACAATATGCAGGCACACTGTGGCTTAAAATCATATTAGCTTAAGGGAATTAGATAGCATGTATATACTTCTTAATAGAAAGCAATCAAATATTAAGGTGCTACTGAAAATGTCTTAAATTGATCCTAGAGTTCAAATAAGCATGCTGATTGAAAGGAAATTATATAGCACTGGGCTAAAGTTCTGTGATTTTTTGCTTGACAATAACTTTGAAGGAATGACAAGAGATTAATATGACAAGCTATAGAGAGAAAAAGGATTCTACAATTTCATAGTCAAACGAAGATATTACATTGCAAAAGAAATCTTTAAGGAGTATAGAGTACCATTGCAACTCGTCATATTACTGTTTTCAGAGATATACCCAAGTATCTTCATTTAAAAGCTGATTGAGATGTTCGATATAAACATTAAGGAAATACCCTATTATGAGCTATAGAAATAGAAGGAGATGGGTGGCATGTTTGATTATCAAATAAAGTCTGGCTTTATTAGTAGATCAAGCGGCACTGGACTGAATCCTTATATGACTGGAGGTAATAATCCGTTAGGAAACACTTTGCAAGATAATGACATGTTCCTTAAGAATGAAATAGACCCTGAAAAACTCTAAGCAATGAGAGAATTCTTGCATTACTTTATTAAGAAGAGAAATGAACTTATTAAGAAAATTGAGAAACTCTCATTAATAGAAAAGGCAGGATCTGGCCTCGATAAGTATCAAACTGCTGCTATAAATGAAGGATTTTAAAGTTTGTATAGCCCTATGCAATACCAATAATAGTAGTAGAATGAGTAATTCAGCACTATATAGGGTTATGGAGGTAGTGTCCCAAATCAAGGAATTCAGAGTCTTGCTGGATAAAGTCCTAGTATATATACCGGTATAAATCAAATGAGATAATAGATACCAAGAAAGAGGTCTTTTGAAAGAGTCAACAATTATGAGGAGTAAAACAATCCATTTGACCTTGAGATTATTCCTGACAAGAGATACCATTAATCTGACAATGAAAACACCGATCAAAAGATTTCTCAACTTTACTATCTGAGAATTATGACTGAGTTCTTTATATTTCACTCGCTCATTCTTCTTATTAAAAGCGATGAGGAAAAAGATAAGCTTGTACTGAGAAACGAGTTTTACTCACTGATAAAGAATGATAATGCCTTACCCTCTGATTTCTGCAAGGATCTGTTCTTCAACTATGAGATGTATGATGAGGCCTTGTTATTCTTGTTCTACAGAAGAGAGTATAAGGAATTACTAATGCTAATACAAAGAGAATTTGAAAGAAATAAGGCTGATAAACAAAGTAGGCACTATTGGTGCTCCAAGTTCATTAAGTATTGCAAAAAGATCAATGGTAAGTATATGCTAGAGATTATCAAATACTATAGAACTCGGAAATGAAGACTTTGCAATACAGCACACAGACTGGATTTTCCAAGTCAATATTGATGTTGGATTGGAGTGCTTGAAGAAGTTTGACAAGAAGGATCCATTCAAATCAGATAAAATCTTGAGATACATTAAAGACTAAGGCGGACTTTAAGCTTGCTTGAAATACCTAGAATATCTAACATTGGAATGTGGAGTTGAGGATAGACCTATTCACACTGAACTTGCATGCCTTTATGTCTCTTATATCGCTATATCACTGGAATAGTATACCCTTTAAGAGGAGCATACATGGGATACTAACAATTCAAACATCATCAACCAGATATCGTTCAATAGTGAATTAGCAGATTAAGATGAGAGAATTTATGGTATTTTCACGAATAATATTAATATTATAGAACTTAGGAAAAAACTGATGACATTATTTGATAACAGCGATTTATTCGAGCCATAACCCATACTTGAATTAATGCCTGCAAATTATCTGACTAAAGAAAAAGTTCTTCTCCTAATCAAATCAAGAAGGTATAAAGAGGTAAGCTTATTCATGTTCTAATTTTACTTAGGCTTTTGGTATATGTGTCGATCAATTGAAGGATGTAGAATATGCTATGAAGGTCGCTCACAGAGGGTATAAATGGCATAGAGACAAGTCAATCTACTTCTACGTGTTTGTCAAATTGCTTCAATCCGGAGAACGAGAGCAGGCAATGAGTATTCTGCAAAAGAACTTCCATTTCGTGTCTCCAGAGTAGATCACTAAACATCTAGCTGAATAGGAGTCTTTTGATCAAGGTATGAATAGATTTTACCAAAGATCTTTCGTTGAGATGGAGAAAGTCAACAAAGAGCTGGCAGTGCTTAAAAATCTCACTTCCTATGAATACTTTTAAATAGCAGAGGAGCTTTATGAAGAAACTAATAAACACATTGTGATAACTGAGGACACTGAATGTTATAGCTGCAAGAAAAAGATTCTACAGTACCCCTTCTATTATGTCCCAGAGACTTAGCACATAATGCATTACTTCTGCTTTCAAAATGAAAACAGAGAGTACTATTCAGCTTAGTTCTAACAGCAGCTAAGACAATAAGAGCCTATTCAAAGTAATATAATGCACACAGCAGCACCTGGAATAAATGAGATATCACCCAATAAGAACTTGCCAGTAAATTGAGTTATGATGTTAAATGAATTATATTTCTGAGACAAATTACATAAATCAATTTAATCTTAATTTCATCACTATTTGAATAATCATCGGCATTCACTCTCGTTATATTAATACTTATTACTCACAGAAGTTTCCCTTCAAACATTATAGCATTTTTGTTTTGCTTCATTAGCTGTCTCCATTATACAATAAATCTAAGTATATGTTGAGTTGAATAATTTCTTACTTATCAGCGATAGGTTTGAGTAGTTTTCCAGTTAAAGATAATGAGGTGACACGACAAAAACTCTCAACAAATACTATCTTAGCCTCTGGATTTATTCTAAGCAATTTAGATATCAAGCATCTTGCATAGCAAAGGGGAACTGCGGTACCTGGTCCATTCGTCAAAATCTAAAGGGAATAAATCACAAATACTAATTATATACCAAATCAGGATTCTCAATGAGAATTAGTTTAATTGAGTGGAATAATCCCATTAGTGTAGTAATCACCGACGTAATATAACTCTACTTTATCTCTCTACTTCTGAATAACCTTAAAATGCGTAAGTTTTAAAAATCTTTTTCGATATTCACATTCCTATATTTCTAGTAAAAATCTCTAATTTTATTCATTGACCAAGTGTCAGAGTGGCCAATAATGAATGTAATCTAATCGTATTTATTGAAATTCAAGCCTTTAAGCATTAAAAGCATCTCTGTAGTATGTCCTCCAGATCCAAATACTATCATTAGCTTTGATTTTTTTAATTTTAGAATGAATTTAACGTAGAGTCCATACATTATAATGAGAACATAGTAAAGTATTATGACTTTCAATATCTCGCAAAGAATACAGCTAAAATCTCCCATTGGAATATAAAATTATGTACTTTAAGATTAATTAACTATCTCGAATTTAAAATTATAGCGACAAGGGGTTTTGGGGTTTTGGGGTTTTGGGG